AAGAGTAGAACACTCTGGAGACGGGACTGTTTTGGCCTTGGGTTACATCACCAATGGGAAATCCTCAGTCTAAGGTCCCCTCGGACTCCCCTTTGGGACACATGCTGGCCAGCCTGCTCTCTCGAGGCCTGGCTCCTGGCCTCAAGTGCAAGCGCTGTATATATTTGTGTAACCCAGCATGGCCGAGTATGACCTAGGGAGCCAATCCAAATGGCCACTCAGCAGCATCCTTGATCCCATCATTATTCGGGACTTATACAATTACTGTGAGCGCTTGGAAAGGGGAACAAAGCACCCCATGTTTGAGCTTTTCTCTATCTCCATTCTCTGTCTCTCCTGCTCACCAGTGCAAGTTATGCCATACCCGCTAGAAGGCTTAGCTCTTAGGACCTCTATGGGAGCCATTCCCCTCTGCTAATCAAACCCCAGCCCCACTCTGCCCTGCCTGCAGTCTGGGCTGTCACCCCCCCCCCCCCCCCGCTGGCGATGATGCCACAATCCCCCCAATTTCTCCCCCTCCTGTTCCTCAGCCACCGCTGCTGCCTCCAGTGGCCCCTCCTTCTATCCCCGCTCCTTTAGCTCATCCTGCCTTGGCTGGCCCTGGCGCCCCGTACTCCTCCTCCCTTTCCCCTCCCATCACTGTCCCACGGTCCTGGCGTCTTCTCCAGCAGTCCCCTCTGCCCCCTCCCCTCGCGCCCCGGGCTCCCGAGGTCTCCCATCCACCCACCTCTCTCTCCAACTCCTCCTCCTTTCTCTCCTCCTCTCTCTCCAACTCCTCCTCCTTTCTCTCCTCCACTCTCCAACTTCTCTTTCTCCAGCTCTTCCTTTCTCTCCAACTCCTCATTTCTCCCCCCCACCTTTCCCTAATCCCTCCTTTCTCTCCAGCCCCCCACTTTCCCAATCCCTCCTTTCTCTCCTTTCTGAATCCTCCTTTCTCTCCTGCCCCTTCCTTTTCTACAATTCCTCCTTTCTCTCCTTTCCCCCCAACTTCAGCTCCCTTTCCAACTCCAGCCCCTCTTCTAGCCCCCCTTCCAAGTCCCGCCCCTTTCTAACTGTGGCCCTCCCTCCAACTCCTGCCCCCCTCCAACTCCTGCCCCCCTTCTGCCTCCAGTCCCTCCAACTCCAGTCCCCCTTCCAACCCCAGCACCTCCTATCACCCCAGCTCCTCCTCCAAGTCCAGCCCACCTGACAGTTCTTTCAGCTTTCCCCCCAGCCCCTCCCGGTGGGGTTGCCCATGCAGCCTCTCCTTCCTCTCCTCCCAACTTCTCGCCAGAGCCTACTAAACAAATCCCACACCCTTCTCCCAACCTTACCACCACTGCTACACCAGTCCCCCTCACACGCCCTCCCCCCAACCATCGCACCACCTCTCTCTCCCAGTCCACCAGTAACTATCCCCACACTAAATTCTCCCTCTCAAGGCCAAACTGTCTTCAAACTCTCCCTCCCAGCCTTCCATTGGTTCCCGTGGCAGCCGGCTGCTGCCTCTGACTTCTGGACCCCAGCCCCTTCCAACTTCCCCGGGTCCCAGGCAACCCCGGCGGGGCTTCCTCCTCCCACCCCATCAGCGGCTCTGGCCCCTCCCTTCTTTTCAGCAGCCCCTTCTACACCTGCCCCCATGGGCGGTCTCTGCCCCTTCTCCGCTTTACTCCCTCCCATCTTCCCAGCAGTTCCTTCTCCCCATCAACTCCCAGGACCAAAGCCCTCCTCTGGCTAACTCCCGCGGCACAGCTTCTCATTCCAGGCTTCGGTCGCCTCTCCCCTTTCCAAGCCCTTCTGTCCTCACTCTACAAACGACTTCTGATAACCTCTGTCCCTGCCTCCCTGCCTGCTTCTCTGTGAGGGCATACACCTTACATTTCCCAAGCCCCTTCTCTGGCTAACATCTTCCCTCCTAGACCCTAAATAAACAGGCCTCTGCCCTGTCTGTCGTTAATCCATCACTGACAGAGGCTGGCTGCCTAACACACTGGCCAGCTCCTCTCTTCTACTGCTCTCTTTTCCCCACCAAAAATGTCTTCTGACTCGCTCTTCTCTTGCCACCATGGCATCCCCTTTTAGCTCTCTATTGGAGCTCAATTGGTTTGTTGGTATTTTTTTTTTCTATCCTTTCTGGCCCATTTCCTAACTGTATCAAGTGTATCTATGGACTTCAAGATTCGACCCTTCAAAATGTGGCTTTTAACATTTATTCCCTCCTCAATTTCTCCTCAACCCTATGAGAAAATTGAGGCATAGTATGGTACGGAAGCTGCTGAGTTCACCCTGCTAGTAGATGATCCTGGATGTCAGGCCAGCCTGAGTCCTCATCAGCTGTGTTTATTGCCTCTGGATCAGGGAGGGACCTGTGGGAACTTTGAATTGTTAACCAACAAGTTCCATTTTATTTCTAGCAATGTGGCTGATAGGGACCCAATGGGGGGGGGGGGGGGGAACAGCTTTCACAATACACAGAGAAAAAAGATACTTTAAATTTATTTGCAAAATGAAATTAGAATTTTGAAAAAAGCAAAAAAAAAAAAAAAATCAATGGAAGCCAAAATCCAGAGTAACTAGAAGAATGTGCAATTTTTCTTTTGACAGCCTCGGGTGAAGGAGCAGCAGCAGAGAAGCCAAGAAAACTTAGGTCCTGATAAGGTAGAAGAACCAGGAGGGAGACATAAAGTTGAGACTCCCCAAAAGCATAGACTTAGCACCAGGGCAAACTGTGAATGGAGCTATCTGTTCCCTTGCATCCTTATCCCCTCGGCTTCTGGAGCAGCAGGGAAGACTGCCTGTGCTAAAGGAAAATATTGCTCTGAAGTTGGGCAGAAAGTAAGTGTGCATGTGTACAAGTTCCTCTTGTTTTGAGGGAACTCAGAAGGTTTTGCAATCTAGGTTCATAGTTTTAAAAATTACTACAAAGCATGTAAAGTAGGCAAGAGATGTCAGAAACAGTGGACAGAAGACATTGAAGATGTTTGTCTTTATAGTCAACTAGTGAAAACACAAACTTCAAAACACATGAAACAAAACAATTTTAAGGAGTACACAATTGTGCAGTATCACATTTAATGTCTCTCTCTGTATGGGTAAATAGAAAATCAGCAACAATGTAGCCGACATGAACAACACTATCAACCAACATAAACTGATATTTATAGAATAATCTACCCTACAACAGCAGACACCCATCTTTCTCAAGTGCATTGGAATGTGTGTGTAGGCAGAACAAGCCTATTCAATAATTTCAGATTTAAGAAGATTCATTGTATGTGATCTCTGGTAGTAATAGAACTACATTAAAAATCAATAACATCCTTGAAAATTCCTGAAATATTTGGTAACTATGTAGATTAACATAGATTAAAGAAAGGTCTAAAGAGAATTAGGAAGGTACCTGAGTAAAAGTTTTAAAATAACATGCCACTGTAATAATAATATGCACAGTAATATCCACCACTAAAGCAGTTTGTGTGTGTATGTATGTATGCATGTATGTGTGTGTGTATGAGCATGAGTGCATGTTACTTCCTGCCTTTTGTTGGTTAACTGGAGATAATATCATAGACTGCCTTTTTGGGGGCTGTATTTCAACTGTGATCCTCATATCTCATCCTCCTGAATACCTAGGATTACAGGCATGAGCTACATGCCCCCAGTTACTAAAGTATTTCCTAGAGGGAAATTTATAGTATTAAATGGCTATCTTAGAAAAATCTCAAAATTAGGTATTTAATTTCATTCTCCTCTAAGAAACTGGAAAGAAAATTAAATTAGAAGTAATTGAAAGAAAAGGAATCATGAAAATCAAAGTGAAACTCAAAGAAAATCTTTTCAAAAGACCATTAAATGCACAAGCTTGGTTTTGGAAAAGGTGGGAGGATGGGTGGATGGACGGATGGATAAGTAAAAACTTCAGCAGATTTATCAAGGGAAAAAAAGAACACAAACTAAGGCATAAGGGATGAGGAAGGTGACATAGCTAAGGATCTTGTAGATATAAAAAGATTTAAATGACTTAAAAATACCTTTATCCTCATAAAGTCAGTAACATGGAAGAATCTGACTAATTCTTGAAATGTGCATGTTACTTAAGCTCTCTCAAGAAGAAATGGATAATCTTCTAACCTTGTATCTAAGAAATTAAAATTGTAGTTTAAAATGTCTGTAGAATTAGAGGGGTAGACCAGTGATAGAATGTTTGTCAAGCATGTGTGAGGCCCTGAGTTCCATCCCCAGTAACATACAACACAACACATACACGCATGCATACGCACAAAAGTATAAAGGAAATTCAACCTAGAGAGGAAGGAGTACAAGACCAGAATAACCCATGTAGCAAAACTACCCTAGTACCCAGAAATGGTACAAGAAAACAAAACTAGAAAAAATATTCCTGCAATATGGTCAGATGGGGTTTATCTAAGAAACGCAGGCTTAACACTCAAAGATTCATCAATGTAATGTTACAAAAATCACCTGAGAAAATCCAGCATCCATTTCTGAGAAGTCTAATTAAGACTCACAAGAACGTCTCCAGTTTGATAAAGGGCATCTACAGACGATATAACTAATGGTGAAAGGCAGAATATTTTCCCCTGATGTCAAGAACCACTCAAGGAGATTAGCACCAATGGCTGAAGCCTGTAATTCTAAGTACAGGACAAAGTTTTGAAGCCAGATCATGAAAATAAGTCTTGTGAGATACCATCTCCAATTAACTGGTAAAATGCCAGATGAGAGACATGGCTCCAATGGTAGAGTACCAGCTATGAGCAACAAGCAAGAATTCAATACCGCGAGTTTTAGTATGAATGCCCACACATGCATGCACGTGTATACACACACGCACACAATGCGTGCACGTGAACGCGCACACACACAAACACACACACACACACACACACACACACACACACACACACACACATAGAATACAGAAGCAGGGGCTAGGCATGGTGAAGTCCTGTAAGTCTAGCCTAAGCTACTTAGTGCAAAAAATTACTCAAAATTGTAAGAATATGTGTTCTTACTGTCTAATAATGGAAATTCTAAGCTACAGTCACACAAGAAATGGAAATACTATTCAAACAAAGCCATAAAGAATTTAGGAATTGATCTGACAAAAATGAGAAAGACTTGTACAATGAAACTACAAAATTTTCTATGATAAGGAAGACTTAAATAAGTAAGATGTGTCATGTTCAAGGGTCAGAAGACAAAGCTGTAGTGAGAGGTGGGTGTGATTCCCAAGAACGGGATATTTGATGGAACACTCTGTTCCTTTACTGTGAAGATCAAATCATAAGCCACATGTAATGAAATGCATAGTTCTACAACACACACACACACTCCAAGGAGAACCTTGGGAGTGTGATTCAGGTCTGTGGATTGTGCCAGTCTCTACTCACTGGTTTTGACAGTGTAAATAGTTAGATGCAATGAGATAGATGATGTGACTCAGGATGTTTCTGTTTTCTGTTTTGTCACCTTCTCAGAAACTATGCCTTTTTAAAAATAAAAATACCGGGCTGGGAAGTTGGCTTAGTGGTAGAGCATTTGCCTTGCATGCCTGAGGCCCTGGGTTCGATTCCTCAGCACCACATAAGCAAAAAAAAAAAGCTGGAAGTGGCGCTGTGGCTCAAGTGGTAGGGCACTAGCCTTGAGCTAAAGAGCTGAGGGACAGTGCTCAGGCCCAGAGTTCAGGCCCCACAACCGGACCAAAAAAATAAAAATAAAAATACCAGCACTTAAAATATTGCTTTTTATGGATGAAAATGGAATAATAAAACCTATTAAAATTGTAAGAAGAGAAAAGGAAAGTGAGTGAATAATATGATTAAAGCACCAAAGCAAGTATGGAATTATCACAACAAAGCTATATAATTAATAAAGTGTGCTAATAGAAAAAATGTGCAGCCTAGGAATACATATACATAAATTACCAGAAGGAGATACAGGTATTGGGGTGTTAGTTCAGTGGAAAAGCACTTGCCTAGCAAGTGCAAGGACCTGTTACAGCCTCAGCTCTAGAAAGGAAAAAAAAAGGAGATATAAGACAAACACAAATTTGAGGACAATGTAGATGTGTGTCACTTGTCATGATTCAAACTTCCTTGGTAAATGGATACTATCTGGAAGTCTGCTACATTTAAAGAAAGAAATGGCCATGAGAATGGAATCAGTGATTGTGGACATTTTGATTCTGTACACTTGAAACTAGGAGTGGGGTGGGTTGGACATCATCATGGGGGAAACAAGATGTTTCCAGTGTCAGAAGATGAATCAACACACAGGAGATATAGGAGAGTTCATTAAGGCATATTACTTGTGTACAGAAGGGCATTCTGCTATTTTCCCCAGAGCTAGATAGGCAGACCAGGTTGGGTAGTCTCAGTTTTTATCCTAACCCAAGGGATAACCAAGTTGTCAATTCCAGGTGCTAAGGAGTTAAACTAGAAAGTGGCTCTGTGGCTCAAGTTGTAGAGTGCTCGCCTTGAGCTTGAAGAGCACAGGGACAGTGCCTATGCCCTGTGTTCAAGCCCCATGGGCGACAAAAAAAAAAAAAAAAAAAGCAATTTATTTGGGGCTGGAAATATGGCTTAGTGGTAAGAGTACTTGCCTAGCATGCAAGTAGCCCTGGGTTCTGTTCCTAAGTACCATATATACTGAAAAACCCGGAAATGGTGCTGTGGCTCAAGTGGTAGAGAACAAGCCTGGAACTCAAGAACAGGGACAGTGCCCAGATGCTGAATTCATGGACCAGGACTGGCAAAAAATAATAGTAATAATAAAATAATAATAATTAAACTCACATTTTTAAAGTCCTATTATTTGTTTTTGTTTTGTTTTGTTTTTGTTGTTTTGGTTTCTGCCAGTCCTGAGGCTTGAGCTCAGGGCACTGTCTCCGAGACTCTTTTGCTCAAGGTCAGAGTTCTCCTGCCAGTATTCTGCCACATCTCACAGCACCACTTCCAGATTGTTCTGTTTTCTGTGGTACCTAAGAATCGAACCCAGGGCTTCATGCATGTTAAGCAAGTACTCTACCACTAAGCAACAGTCCTAACCAAAACTCCTATTTTCTTTTGCTATTGGTTACTGGAATGATGAGGTAACACAAAGAAGTTTAAAAGCACTCTGTCACTGGGGAACAGGTAGGGGGAGTGGCAGGGGGTTACTATCCTTTTAGAGTCAAAAGCCCTAGTGGGTTCTCATCACATCTGGCTGGAAACAGCTGGGAATAATTATATTTGGAGGAGGTTAGTGAGTGAAGTCAATGAAAAGTTCCCACACTAGGACTATTCTTTAACTTCATTGGTAAAGATTTCTTCACCTATCTAACTGGCTGGTCACAAGCAACACAGATGAAAGTTACAATTACAGTATCAAACCAAATGCTTTCAGGAAATATCAGTACTACCAAATATCAGTATACAGTGGTGAGTGGTTACAAGACAGAGACATTTTAGTTTGAAAAGAAAGATTGGTTCACCACACAGTCAATAGGCCAGGAGGCCCACAGGTGGGAAGCCGTTGCACTGGCTTGTGCCTGGATGAGTGCACAGCGGGCCCTGCCTTTTGCACCTTCGCTGTGTTGGCTGTCCCTGGAGTGGCCGAGAGCTTGCCCTGGTGGAGATGGCAGTGAACATCTCAGGTAGCAGAAGCAGCATAGCCCAGGCGTTCACTGCCAGCAGGCTCTGGTGTAAAGGAGCTGTGTCCCAGCCCTTCAGGAAGAATGTCTAGATCAGCAGAGGTCTGTGGAGGGCCAGGGTGTTAGGAATGAATGGAGGATCCTAGGCTCAGTCTCTTGAAACTCCCTCAGTGAATCTTCTGGGCTGAATGTAAGGGCCCTCCAGTGGCTGTTTGCCTGGCCTAAGCCACTCTCCAACTCTCAGGAGGGCAGGCTCTGGGCATTTTATGAAAACCATGTGAAAAGGCTTATGATCAGAAATACCTTCCAACATCTGCATGAAGACAGAAGATCATGGGCAGGGGCAAGTTGTTTACCAGAGGATCTAGGTAAATAGCAGAGGCTTCCAGATGAGCTTGGGAAGGATTTGGGGGAGGAAGACAAGACCAAGCTTCCCAGGGCAGTGTCAGAACCAGTGGATGGGACCCTGGTCCCTCTTAATAAAGTGTTCCTCACTTGATACGTGCCAGTTTTGCAACACAATTGTCTTAGATAAGTCACAACATCTGCTCAAATGAGTGACCAATAGGGTACATGTGGCTGGGGCCTGATGTCACCAAACACATGTTTGATGCATGCTTGTGTATTACCAGTGAAGACAGAACAAAAAACCTAAGTAATGAATTGAAAAACATTTTCAAATGTATTAACAAATATTAGTTTCATTTAATCAGTTTTCACAGCTGAATATTTATTCTATAAAAAATTTACAGATTACAGTTTATATATAGTTCAAACTACTGAACAATAAAGTAGGTCCCATAGACGCAAAAGAACTGTACCAATTCGTCCTAGCTAAAGGACTATACAGTTCTCCATGTGGCCAGGGAGGTGGTCTAAGTACAAATTTCAAAACTGTATAAAATAAGGTCTGATTTGATTTCATTCCTCATACATTCAATCTGATTGCAAACCCAGAAGCCTAACTATAGAAGAGGCTTCTATAGTGAAGAATCAGCCGCTGCTCTTGAAGAAGGCACAGTCCATCCACATGGGGGCACTTTGGACACTGCACTGTACTCAGTATGTGGTAGAGAAGAGCAAGGACCAAAACAGTAAATGGAACTGTCCTACAGAAGGTAGTACTCTTGCTTTGAAATGAGTTTTTGTATTTAATAGTGTGCCAGAAGAATTTTAACATTAAATAAAGCATATTCTAAGTGAATGTAAATAATTACATTTACATTTGATAATTTTGCTGTAATACATCAATCATACCTGCAGACAGAAAACCAAACTGTATACAAAAGTATTTCTCACCCAGCAACAAGAAGCACATATCTAGTTATTTTTCAAAAGGGTCACAAAGGGCTGGGAAGGTGGCTCAGTGGTAGTGTTTGCCTTGCATGCATGAGGCCCTGCATAAGCATAAAAAGCCAGAAGTGGTGCTGTGGTTTAAGTGGTAGAGTGCTAGACTTGGGCTGAAGAGCTGAGGGACGGTGCCCAGGCACAGAGTTCAAGCCCCACAACCTGCAAAAAAGGGTGGTTGGTCAGAGAACTACTTAAAACCCACTAAGACTAGCATATAACTTAGCTACTTAATCTATTCAGTGATTCACTAATACTGAAAAGTAAGTTCTTTTCCAGACAGTGTTTCTCCATGTTAACTGGGTAAGACCTGGACATATTTTAATCAGGAAGAATTGGCTGACATCTTGGCATGAACCCTAAGTGTGTGTTGGGATTTCTCATAGAACATCTGACTTAGAATTTGCATTGCTGAACTGAGCCCCAGATCTTCTTCGGCACCTCACACTCCCTCTTGTTGGCCTGCTCCAGCCCTATCTTCATGTTGCAGTGCAGCAGGATCTTAGATTCCTCCAGGACCTGTGGCCAACAATGAAGGGTCAGAAGCAGGTCTCCCTCCCCATATGTATGGAAGGAGGGGATGACCACAGGCATTTTTTCACAATTTACACCAGGCCTAGCATTCAGAAAGTAGTAAGAAAGTCTTGCCTCTCAGGAGGTTCCATATTTGTGGATTCAATCAACTTAGGATTGCAAATAATCAGAAAACCAACACCCTTCCCCTCATATAGTGAGTGGACAGTCATTCCCTAAATAGTGTAAGGAACACCTAGTAACATGGCATTCATGTAGAAACAATCTTAAGTCCACAGGTGGGTAGGTGTACGATGCAAACATTACACCCTTTTACAGAAGGACTGGAGCATCCCTGGAGTTTGGGGTCCATGGCAGAGGCAGCTGGAACCATCCTCATGGATTCTGTGAGATGCTGGAGGATCTCACACTACATGGTGCTGGCAGTCTCAACCTTGAAATGGCTCTTACACTATTTTCAGCAAGCTGGGTTTCAACAGTTGGCCCTCAGCTGCCACTGGATCAGGCTTCAACCCAGCATGGCTGCCATGGGCCTGTGTGGAGCAGCCTTGGGATGTGTTCTTCCCACTGATGCCCAATGAAACCACTCAGATCAGCGTGAGGGGGTTTCCTAAACAAGACCTAATGTTCCTTGAAGATTGCTCACATGACTGCAAGAGTTTAGATAAGAGTTGTATCTGTTGCTAGGAAACAGTATCTCACCCTGTAACTTGATAAATGCTATTTTCTCAGAAGACTAACTATTCAGCATCTTTACCAAACACAGGGAATGTAAAGGGTGATTCTGAGAAGGTCTTTGCAACCAGTAGAGAATGGTGCAAGCGTTGCTGCTGCAGATGCTAGTGTCTACTCCTTTAACTCTTGGGTTTGGTGGACCTGCAGTGATGGCTCCAAGAGCAGCCTGGGTCAGCGGGTCAACCTTATGCATGGCTGTGCTCACGCCAAACAATGGGTCAAAACAATGACTTCCTTCTGTGTTTCTCTGATGGTGCTGACGACAAGACCCAGAGTTTTTGGGGTTCAGGTAAAAAGATGTTCTCAAAAGATGCAATATTCATGACAAGTACCCACAGTGACCAGTTGTACACTGCAGTTTCCCGGGCTTGTTTCCTTCCACACAGTGAGTGCATAGAGCACTCGAGCGAGTGCTGGAGAGCACAGGTGTGGCTGACTCTCTGCCCTTCAACAGAGGCAGGAGGGATGAACACAGTGGCAGGGAACCTGCTCCTCAGCAGAAGGCCTTGCAAGATTCAGAACATCACCCTAAGTGAGGGTAGCTGTTTGAGCAGAGTGGAACAAGGTCATGGCATTCTAAGAGTGTGGAATGTTCTGATAAGCAGCCTTTTCTGGGGGGAATAGGATGGTCTATAAGTAAACACTTATTAGAAATCTCAACCTTTTTCTTCATATTGTCAGGTCTTTTTTTCGGTTTTTCTTTTTTCTTTTTTGTTGATCATGGGGCCTGAACTCAGTGCCTGGGTGCTATCCTTTAGCACCCTACCACTAGAGCCAGAGCACCACTTCCAGCTTTTTCTGATTATGTGGTGCTGAGGAATAGAACCCAGAGCCTCAGGGCAAGTACTCTACCACTGAGCCACCTTCCCAGCCCCTTAAGTCAGTTCTTCAAGGCAGACAGTGACAATGTATAAAGCAGAAGGGATATAGGGTAACTGAATTTTCCCCTCTGAGATGATCATTTTCTTTCTCAACACACAGTAGAGAAACCACAGCCTAGTCCCTCCAGGTGAGTGGGAAGTATATTCTCAACAGAGTGCATGCCAACATGTTCAGGCCCAGAGAACCCAGTGAGTAGGGTTTCTACTCTGTTCTCCTCAGTCACTTCTCTCTTCTTTTTTGAGATAGTGTCTATTCTAACTAGGCCTTTGGTGTCAGCTACTGTGTATGGGCATCATAGGCACATACCACCATGCCCAGCCTCATTACTTCTTTTCATGCTTTCTGCCCTTTGAAGGTCAGCCAATAGCTCCAACATGTCTCTCTTCCATTCACCTCCTATTGACACCCTTTCTTGGTTCTCTCCATCTGGACTAACTGGAGCCATCTGTCTCTAGCCAGCATGCTGTCATGGTGGTCCATGTTCCTTCTTCCCAACTAGTTCCATACACATCTGCTTGTTACTAGGGAGTCTTTTCTGACTTGTGCTTTTCTCTTTTCCAAATAGCTGGACGTGCAGGACATTGAAAGGAATTCCATTCACACCCAAGAGTGTGAATGAGATGACTGACTCAAGGCTGTTAATGGTTTCCCACTTAAACACACAAGCAGTGGGCCAGGATCGGTGGCTCACACCTGTAACCTTAGTTGCTAAGGAGGCTTAAATCTGGAGTTTGGTAGTTCTAAAACCTGTGTAAGCAGACAAGTCTTGAGATCCCACCTTCAAAATAATCAATAAAGAAGGGCTGGAGGTATGGCTCAAGTGGTAAAATGCCATCTGAGCATATAATCTGACCAAGAGCTGTCATAGTATAGGTTACATTGTGCTGCTTGTAGCACAGGCTCTTTACTCCCATGTCCTAGGGATATCTGGCACCTCCCAGTCTGAACTAATAGCATTCTTCAGTTCTAACGATGCGTGTGTGTGTGTGTGTGTGTGTGTGTGTATGTGTATGCGCGCGCGCACATGTGTATGCACGGTCTCATGCATTTTGAATCATTTCAAACACAATGAACTCTTAAGAATTCTACCACTGACAACATTCAGCACAAAGACCACACTTCCAAAATGCCGTTTGACTACATGGTGTTTGCCTTTCTAAATTTACTTAGTATTTCCTCTAGTGGATCCTCATCCTCCCACACCAATGCACATCTACACAGTCCCGGATTATCGCTTACAATGAGCTTAACATTTCCTGGAAATAAGGATTCTTTAGTGCCAGATTTGGCATTTAATTGTTAGCAAATCCCCTTCAGCAATAATTCACACTGAGCTTAAAGATCTGGCCTAAATTAGGTAGGGCAAGGTGGGCCACAGCAGGGCAAAATGTACAAAACAGCACAGATGTGGTCCTGCTTCCTTCCCTATTTGCCACAGATGGTGACACATAATCCACCAAACCCCACTAGCCAAAATCCATTTTGGCTTCCAGGGAAACTGGTCACAGGCAGGAGTGGAAAGGGAATTGGGGGCTGGAAGTCCACTTCAAGGCCAGGTAGAGTACTATGGGACCTGGCCCAGTACCATCATGTGCTAAACTTGGTCCTCACAAGTAAGGGCAGAATGCCCTCTTGTCCTTGTAGGACTCCTGGGTCTCAGGGAAGCAGGAGGCTGAGACTGCGTCCATCCCTTAGACGTCTCAGATTGCTGGCCAAGTTTCTGAAAAACGTAGGAAACTCAGTAATCTGAGGTAGGTTTGCCAGGCTACAGGTGAAGAAAAGGTAGGAGCCTAAAACTTGGCATGGGATTTCTAGAAAGATACCTCCAGATTCACTCAGACCTTATGGGCTTATAGAAATGGCTCACAACTGGGTGTGGTCAGTGAGTATGGGCAAGCCGATGAGGGGACCGGCAACTTCCCTACAATATCATCCTATAGGGACAAATGGAGGAAAATAAACCCAACTGGGGCTGCAATGATCATCTACCTGATGTCTAAGTATTGGGTCTGAACAGAACTGAGTGGTAAACTGGACTGCTGCTCAGAGACCTGGACAAGATGGCTTAGGTATGTGAATTGAGGGATGAATGGAGGGATGGGTGGATGGACAGGAGGGTAGACTGCTACATCACACTCCATCTACCAGGAAGCACTCATAAAGGGACAGGACAGTCAACCATATGAACCCACTGACACTGGCCAGTCTTGGTTGCTGGCCAATCAATTCTTAGCACAACAGACACACACACACACACCAAGTGGCCATGGTTTGGTGGACACAGAGGGATAGCATATGAAGGTCAGTGAATGCCTGGCTTGTCAGTGGAGAGTACCAAGACTTAGCCACCGTGCTCATTTCCAAGGTTCTCAGCCTGTTGGCTCCTTGTGGCAAACTCACTGCTCTAATAGGAACAGGTGCTGCCTCCAGGCCTGCCTGCCTTGCCCTCCAGTCCTCAGAAGTCCCAAAAATGCTGGTCTGGAGGTGTGGGGGCCTAATGCAGGCAAAGCACCAGTACTGGAGGATCCCATTCATAGCACCGATAGAGTGCTGCAGAGCTTTGTAATGTCTTGAGCCTCCAAGGGAAGGAGGCACTGTTGGCACATGAGTGCAGCAGAGCTTCCTGATCCTCTCTGCCCAACAGCAGGTGTTCTGGCTTGAGCAGCACACAGGGATGGGGTATGAGGCTCCCTGGGGACAAGTACCCACCTGCAGGGGGTGGCTAGGGGAGCTACATCTACAGAGAAAGTGGCAGTAACTGGGGGGCTGTGTTCATTTATCAACTTCTCCACATTTCAGTTTTCAAAAACAGCTTAGATTTTAGGGTAAGTTTAGACATATAGAAAATTTACATAAGAGTGTTTCTCTGGACTGCCCCAGC